TGCAGGTCTACGCCCAGCGTTGAAAACTCTTGTTAGGGGAGTGTGATGACGCAAATGAGTGCAAAATGTGCGTGCTCTTGTTGGAGAAGAGTAATTTTGAATTCCATTAACTATGTTCTATTGACTGTGCCTTGGCAAAGTCAGCTAACGAGGGTCTGCCTCATTTTCCCGCCCTGGTTGGCAACCACTAGCGTGCGGGAGCCTCATGAGCTTGGGGCTCTCAGCAGGACGTGGGCTCCAGTGAACTTCTCCAGATGTGCGTTCCATCCCTGGATGAGCCGGAGAGTGATCCCAGGGAGAAAAAAGGATTATTCGCTCTCTTTCCCTGGGGAGGAGCTTATGAGTCATGAAATAATCATCTCCGTCTTCACCCTGCAGGTACGGATTGTAGAGATCGTAGAGAAGCCTTTTGATCTTGCCTTTTTCCCAACATGGCGGCAAACGTTGCTGCTGTGTGCGGGGTTCTAGCTCAAAGAGATTCAGGAGAAATGGGTGGTTCCTCCCCCTCGGTGGTAACTTCATAGCCTAGAACACGGCATCTTCCAAAGGTAGAGCTTGGGGTTGGGACATGTATCCATTGGCTCTGGTGGCTTTAACAGGATCCCTCAGCCTGGGGAGACTCGAGCAGCCACGTATTCATCTCCCATAGTGTGGAGGCTGCAAGTCTGAGGTCCGAGCACGGCCTGGGGCCTCTCTGCTTGACGCGCATGGCCGTCTGCCTGTGTCCTCGCGTGATGGACGGAGGGAGAGCTCTGGTGTCTCTTCCTCTTCTCATAAGAACACTAACCCATCATGGCGGCCTCCACCCTCAGAACCTCACTGAACACTGACTGCCCACCAGAGACTCGACCTGCTAATACCGTCCCGTTGAAGGTTGGGGCTCCCACGTGGATGTGGGGGCCGTGCACGTTCAGTGCATAGGGGACCCCGGCACTCACTGGACACGTGGCTAACAAGTGCCCCCTGCCTGTCAGCGTCTTTGCTACTCTTGGGTCTCTTTGGCAGAATCTGAGTGTGTCCCTGCTGTGACATTTGTGCAGCCGATGTGTGAAGGCATAGGCACCTGCTCCCTGGACAAGGTGTGTGCACACGGCTCCTTCCTGGGATGGGACACCAGCCGGGGTCAGCTGCCCCTGGAGCCTTCCGTGGGTAACATTCCCAGGCGGACAGGAGACATCATTGAAGTAGCTGAATCAGTGTTCCCCAGGCTGCCATAACGAAGCACCACAGACTGGGCGTCATGAACAATGGACATTCATTGTGTCCCAGTCCTGGAGGCTGGGAGTCTGAGATCCAGGATGGGTAAGGCTGGGGGTCTGAGGTCCAGGCAGGGCCGACGTTGGGGGTCTGAGGTCCAGGCAGGGCCGAGGCTGGGGGTCTGAGATCCAGGCAGGGCTGAGGCTGGGGGTCTGAGATCCAGGTGCGGCAGAGGCCGGGAGTCTGAGGTCCAGGCCGGGCCGAGGCCGGGGGTCTGAGGTCCAGGCCGGGCCGAGGCCGGGGGTCTGAGGTCCAGGCCGGGCCGAGGCCGGGGGTCTGAGGTCCAGGCCGGGCCGAGGCCGGGGGTCTGAGGCCCAGGCCGGGCCGAGGCCGGGGGTCTGAGGTCCAGGCAGGGCCGAGGCTGGGGGGTCTGAGACCCATGCACAGCTTAGGCTGGGAGTCTGAGATCCAGGAAGGGCTGAGGCTGGGAGGCTGTGATCCAGGCAGGGCTGAGGCTGGGACTCTGAGGTCAGGTGCAGCAGAGTCTGGGAGTCTGAGATGCAGGCAGGGCTGAGGTCGGGAGTCTGAGATGCAGGCAAGGCCCAGGCTGCTTCCTCCCGAGGCCTGTCTCCTTGGCGTGTAGACCCGTCTTGTCCCCGTGTCGTCACGTGGTCGTCCCTCCGTGACTGTCTGTGACCTCATTATCCCCTCTTCTGTAAGGACACCACCCTCCGGGGTCAGGCCCATCCTAATGACCCCATCTTACCTTAATCCCCCCTTTAAAGACCCCACCCCCACGCACGGTCCCATCCCAAGGGCCGACGGCTTCACCGTATGAGTTTGCGGGGACCAGATCGGCTCGCGTCCGGCGCCCCGGCTTTCGTTCAGCCCGTCCGGCTCAGCAGGAAGGCTCTGTAGACACAGAGGCCGGAGCCGGGTCCCGGGGACCGTCCCCCCTCGTTACGCAGCGGCGGGGACCCTCTGCCCGCATGAGACTTTTCCCCGTCCAGGAGCCCACTTGGGCTCCGACTTCTTCCACTTGCAATCATGTCTCTATTTGCCAGAATGTCTCCATTTTCACTCATAAGGCATCAGGCATGTCCCCTGACCATTGTGTGGAAAAGCTCGTTCTGCAATTTCCATTTTCCGGGTGAGGCAACACGCGTAATGGGGTGGATGGCTCGGCCACGTGCGCACAGGTGGTGAGGCAGACACTTGAAGCCAGGTCCTGAGGCTCTTGGGTGTGTCCTCATCTCCGGGGTGAAACTCGTGTGTGTGACGGTGTGAGTTTGTGGGTGAGCGTGTGTGTGTGCGCACGTGGGCTAGTGTCCATGCATGTGCCTGCATACGTGTGTGGGTGCGTGTGAGAAGGTGTGCACGGGCGAGTGTGAGCAGGTGTGTGCACATGAGTGTGAGCATGTGTGCACGTGGGTCTGTGTGAGCAATGTGTGTGCATGCTTATACACACATGTGCGTCTCACCCTCTGTCATGACACCCTCCCTCTCACACGGCCATGACCTATAATTGCTCTGATGGGTGATGATTACGATGTGATAGGAGAGGTAATGAGGAAGAAATGAATAAAATCGTCTATTTCATGAGCTGTCAAAACATTTAGGAATTAAAGAATACAAATGAAATCTCATTTCCGTCTTCATTATGAGCCCAAGGCTTTAAAATGTTCTACAAGTGATCAGTGGTTACGTTTCTAAGCCGAGCATCTATCATGTGTTTAAGGCGGGAGAGGTGGGTAAGTGGATGTGATTAATTCTCCACAAGATGCATTACAGCCAAGAAACAGCTCTTTTCTCTGCCCCTTCGTGTCTCAGCAGGGCTGGCTGCCTGGGGGTGGTTTCAGTGACTCTTTGTGTGTGTGTGTGCACGCGCGCGTGTGTGTGTGCATGGGTGTGGGGGGGTGTCTGTGCATGAGAGTGTGTGTGCACATGGGAGTGTGTGCATGGGTGTCTGAGTGTGCATGAGAGTGTGTGTACATGGGTATGTGTATGCATGGGTGTGTGTGCGTGCATGCACATGGGAGTGTGTGCATGGCATTGTGTGTCTGTGCATGGGAGTGTGAGTGTGCATGGGTATGTGCGTGTGTGAACATGGGAGTGTATGCACATGAGAGTGTGGGGGGAGTGTGCGTGTGCATGGGAGTGTGTGCACATGAGAGTGTGTGCATGCATGAGACTGTGTGCATGGGAGTGTGTGCGCATAAGTGTGTGTACGCATGGGTGTGTGTGCGTGCACATGGGAGTGTGCGTGCATATGAGAGTGTGTGCATCCGTGTGTGGGGGGAGTGTATGCATCAGAACATGTGTCACATGAGTGTGTCCAAGGGAGTGTGTGCTCATGAGAGAGTGTGTGTGGGAGTGTGTGTGCACATGAGAGAGTGTGTGCATCAGCGTGTGTGTGCATGGGTGTGTGTGTGCATAGGAGTGTGCGTATGCATGGGTGTGTGCGAGTGTGCATGGGAGTGTATGTGCACGAGAGTGTGAGGGAGTGTGTGTGTGCATGGGAGTGTGTGCACATGAGAGTGTGTGGGTATGGGAATGTGGGTGTGCATGAGAGTGCATTGGAGTGTGTGTGCACATGACAGTGCATTAGTGGGAGTGTGTGTGCATGAGTGTGTGTGTACGTGGGTGTGTGTATGTGCATGCACATGTGCATCAGAGTGTGTGCGCGCGCATGACTGTGTCCATGGAAGTGTGTGTGCGTGGGAGTGTGCGCACGCTCGTGTGTGCACACGAGAGTATGTGTGTGCACGTGGGAGTGTGTGCGCGCATGAGTTTGTGTGTGTGCATGGGTGTGTGCGTGTACATGGGAGTGTGTGTGCATAGGAGTGTTGCGTGCATGGGAGTGTGTGTGTGTGTATGTGTGTGTGCGCATGTGAATGCCAACCGCACGCAGATGAAAGTCCACAGAACCCCCCCGACGCCGGAAGCCTCTGTGCCAGCAGCGCACTGTGCAGTGAGCACACTCACTGGTGGCACAAGCAGCCCCGAATCTGGTACGTCGTTTGTACTTGACACTGTATTCTCACCACAGAGAACGGAAACGAGGCTGAGACTCTCCTAAGGGAGAGAAAACACATTTAAAGACCGTGTTGTATTTCTCAAAAAAATCTGATCTCAGTAGAGCCACGCACATCAAACCCGTGTTGTTCAAGGCTCAGCCGTAGAGCCCCACCGTGCGCCTGAGAAGGGTTGAGCGACTGCACTGCAGAAAGTTCCAGAAGTTTAGGAAACAAGGCGAGCTCCCCAAAAGCTTGGGGACCCCTCCCGGCTTCTGGATTCGGGCCCCTAGCCCTGAAGGTGCTGGCTGACCACCATGCCCCACGCCTGCGTTCCTCTGCCCGACGCACAGCCGCACCCCTCCCTCCTGCCGCCTGCCTTCCCAGCTCTGCTCTGAGCTTTGCTTTCCCGCTAAGCAGTGCCCTTCCACGGCCCGGGAGCCCTTCCACCCCCCGCGGGAAGCTCACTCTGCTGCGTCGTCACCAAGAACCTCTTGGCCAAGTCGACCCGTTTCGTGCGGTTGTTGACTCGTGTGGGCTCAACACACGCATCGCTTTGAGCGCATTCGTCCGCGTGTCGGTTTGACCGCGATGCAGAAGCTGTGACATGGATTCGCCCGTCCAGGGAATGCCACCTTGCACGTGCGCGTGGGAAACGTGGCCGCGGAGCTGTGGTGCGGCCGCATTGCTCACCGGGCTTCCCGCCTGAGCTTCCTGAGGGGGTCCCCACCACCCCCTGCTCTCTGCCCAGAAGGCTGACCCGTCCTGGCCTTCTTCTTCTCCCCGCAGACCCCAGACGAGGGGGCCAGGACCTCCGTCTACGCAGCCGTCTCACCGGACCTGGAAGGAATCGGCGGCCGCTACCTGTACAATGAGAGGGAGACCAAGTCTCTGAGGGTCACGTATGACCAAGATCTGCAGAGACACCTGTGGGCCACGAGTTGTCAGATGACCAGCATCGCGGACGTGACTGCAGACACCCTCTGGGAGTAACTGCCACACTGGGGAGACCTTGCATCGAGCCACCAATCACAGGTCTGTGACGGGCGCCCGTGCCTGCATTTTTCACACCTGCTGCCTTCAGGGCTCTGTCCCCAAAGGCCACCTGTCTGCGGTCCTGCCTTTGAGGGAAGTCAGGGGGCCAAAGAAACACTGGGTGTTTCCCAAACAGGGCCGGGAGCCAGGAATTGTATGCAGATTTCTCCACGTGCCAGGAACAATTAAATGCTGCCTAACCCAAGCGTGCCACATTCCTTCTGTAACACACAGTAGGGAGTGGGTTTGGGGGACACGTTCCGATGACACAGGCACTTTCGGGGGAGCATGAACGATTGGGTCGCTAGAGGCTTCCGGGTCCCCGAGTCCTTCCGTGCCTTCACACCCGTTATTCTGGACCCTCGGCTTGGACCCGTGGGTTCCCGAGACACGGAGACATGAGCCTTCTTCAGGCTGCTGGGTCCAGGTTCAGGTGAAAACCATATTCTAGTCCAGACTTTGACAATGACCTGGTCCCGGGTGCAACCTGCGGCCCACGGACCTGCCGTCAGGAGCTCAAGCCCATCGTCATGCAGATGTGACCGTGACAGTCAGGGATTCCGTAGAACAGGGGGGTGGACAGGGGTGTGGACAACACTCCCCATGGGCATCCACGGGACAGAGAAGGGCAGGGGTGTGGAGGGCACTCCCCATGGGCATCCACGGGACAGAGGAGGGCAGGGGTGTGTAGGGCACTCCCCATGGGCATCCGCGGGACAGAGGAGGGCAGGGGTGTGGAGGGCACTCCCATGGGCATCCGCGGGACAGAGGAGGGCAGGGGTGTGGAGGGCACTCCCCATGGACACCTGCAGGACAGGGAGGAGGGCAGGGGTGTGGAGGGCACTCCCCATGGGCATCCGCGGGACAGGGAGGAGGGCAGGGGTGTGGACTGCACTCCCCATGGGCATCTGCGGGACAGAGGAGGCCAGGGGTGTGGAGGGCACTCCCCATGGGCATCCGCGGCACAGGGGGGTGGACAGGGGTGTGGAGCACTCCCCATGGGCATCCGCGGGACAGGGAGGAGGGCAGGGGTGTGGACTGCACTCCCCATGGGCATCTGCGGGACAGAGGAGGCCAGGGGTGTGTAGGGCACTCCCCATGGGCATCCGCGGCACAGGGGGGTGGACAGGGGTGTGGAGGGCACTCCCCATAGGCATCTGCAGGACAGAGGAGGGCAGGGGTGTGGAGGGCACTCCCCATGGACATCCGCGGGACAGGGAGGAGGGCAGGGGTGTGGAGGGCACTCCCCATGGGCATCTGCAGGACAGAGGAGGGCAGGGGTGTGGAGGGCACCCCCCATGGGCATCCGTAGGACAGGGGGGTTGACAGGGGTGTGGACGGCACTCCCCATGGGCATCCACGGGACAGAGGAGGGCAGGGGTGTGGAGGGCACTCCCCACGGGCATCCGCGGCACAGGTGGGTGTACAGGGGTGTGGAGGGCACTCCCCATAGACACCTGCAGGACAGGAGGAGGGCAGGGGTGTGGAGGGCACTCCCATGGGCATCCGCGGGAAGGGAGGAGGGCAGGGGTGTGGAGGGCACTCCCATGGGCATCCGCGGGACAGAGGAGGGCAGGGGTGTGGAGGGCACTCCCACGGGTTGTATCCCTCACAGATCGTCCGTTAACTTTTCTGCAGGCTCCCTGGCTAGACACATTTGGGCATCCTGTTCCGTGCGTAACCCAACAAACTAAAGTGGTCACATAGTTGATGCCCAGTCACGGGCGGTGACCACCGTCCATCAGAGCCATCCCTAGCCGGATCCTTCCTTCTGGTTCCTTCTGTAGCAGAAGACGCAGGCCGCTTGTCTCCTTGGCCCTGACAGGTGGTGCAGGCAGACACGGAAGGCCTTTGGGGTGGTCTCCACCCAGCTGGCGCCTCTAGGAGCTGACATGTGAACCCGTCCAGAAGACAGCTGCACGTTCTGACCTTCCAGAAGAACCTGTGACTGTCATTGCACTTGGGAAGATGATCTTTGCTATGGAATTAGGACAAGGAGATCGTTTTGGCCTCTCAGCGCCGACCCCGCATGATCCCAAGGTTCCTCATCGGAAACACGGACAGGGAGGTTTCATTACAGATCAGAAAGAGGCCATGTGATGATGCCCACCGTCAGAGACGGGCGGGAGACACCCACAAAACAGGGAAGCCTAGACACCCCCCCCCCCAACGCCGGAAGGTGGAAGAGGCAAGAAGGACCTTCCCCTTCCCCCGGAGCCTCTGGAGGAAACGTGAGCCCGCCCCGCCTGGATGTCACACTTCCCATCTCCAGACCTGAGGGACGATGAACGCCTATGGTTTTAAGCCACCAACCAATTGATAGGAATTGGGAACTTGATAGAAACTGATAGCAATTGATAGGGTCTCACAGAGTTCCCCATGCTTCTGAATATCTCACGCAGTTTTCCAGGCACCGTCCTTGACGTTAGGTCTCGCCCTCACCCCGAGTCGGGCAAGGAAGGCTCAATCCTGTCTCTCAGGATGTTCTCAAATTCTAACACGGACAAACTAGCCATTGGAAATGCAATAGAAAGGACACCGTGTGTCTGTTGCTGGAACCCACTGGCAATTTCCAGACCAGGGCTGGCCGTCTAACTCTCCATTCCCTCGGGTGACAGAATCTCAAGCCCAACGTCAACTCCGGGCACACGTGTTTCTTTGGAATCCTAGCCAGCAGCTCTTTCAGTGTGGGGTTCACACGGGACCCAGGGACAGGTGCCTTATAGATTGCCGCTTGGAGGTTCAGAGTGGATGGACTGGCGCCATGAAGCAATTTAAGAACGGGCTCTCCTTCTGGAACGGAGCACCACTGAACGGGAACGTAACAAAACGCAAAAGGGATGCCATTCGTGGCTCTGGTGCGGGAGACTTGAGAATGCCCACGGTGAGTTCTCTGAGTTTTCGTGGCCAGGGTAGTACACCTATACAAACCCCCTTCGCCCCAAAGATGCTGAAGATCTTTCTAGAGGGCCACTAAGGCTGGTGGGTTTTGGTTGCCCACTGGGGGAGCCTTGAAAAGGACTGTTGCTCATGCCCAACTTCGACAGAATTCCAGAGTTAATTCCTCCGGACAATCAGCATTTCTGTAGAGTCTCTCAAGGCATCACTTTGTTTAGCCAAGTTCAAGGACCACCACTCCCCGCCTCCAGTCTAAGCCAGGCATCCCTGGATTGCAGATTGCAGCCCTGGGTTCTGACATCCCGTCAAAGTGCTCAGATATTCGAAGGAAGCCCTACAGCCCACACTACTGTCTTTTGGAACTAGCATCCCTTCGTTGATTAAACCAAGATCGAGCCGTGCCTCATCTAATATTCTGAACGGCCAGGAATTTGCACCACAAAACAGAATCTTGAATTCTGGAAGATGCCAACCTCGGAGCCTTTGTATGTCATCGAAGAGCCCGTGACAGCTTGAGGCCGCTGTTCCCGAGTGCCAGGGGCTGTTGTCATGATCACAAAGGTCCTTTCCAAGTCGAGGCTCAGGATGGCTTGGGGAGGGTGGCTAGTATGTCCCCTCGACACCTGATCGTAAAATTCCCCGGTGCTCAAAGACGTTTCCCAGCAGCTGGAGAAATCGTGTGGCTGTCTGGGTGAGTAAAGCCGAATCGTGGCTTTCAGGCCCTGGGGGTCCTGGGTTTGAGCCTGTCGCTCGTGTTAGAGGGGTTGAGTTAGGGTCTCTGCACACACGCCACGGTGACGACTTTCCATCCACGGGCAAGACTCGAATCGGTACTTGGGCTTATGATGTGTGTGTCTTCTCGGTAAAGAGGTTCTTTTGTTCCCTCAGTGTAGCAACAATGAGCTTTGTTCGGGTTCAGCAATGGGAAGGACCTCGTCATTCATTCATCTGTTCATTCATTGATTCAATCAGTCATTACTACCAAGCCTGGCTCTGAGGAAATGCAAGCTCACTCAGGTTGAGTGGGACCTAGCTCTTGACCCACAGGAGCTCAAAGTCTGTGGTGGGCTGATCATGGCCTCCATGGCTATTAGGTCCTAACCCCCGGAATCTGGGGATGTCAAGTATGGAGTAGCAGGGACTTGTAACGAGGAAGAGCAAGCTCAGCAAAGTCTGGCCCGTGTCGTACACAGGCTCAGTCTAGACGCCAGCTGGGTACTGAGGATGTCTGTGTCATGAACGGGTGGCCATGGGCACCTCTCATCTTGGCTCTTCGGAAATAGAACCAGGGAAGGTGTATGAGGCTCTTCCGGGGAAGGACGGGTTGGGAGGCGGGATTGGGGAAGCTTCTCGGATTGGCCCGTGGGTCAGGGAGGGGAGTCCATGCCCGTTTGTCATTGGATCTGAGCTTTGGGAAGTGTGAAGTCTTGCACTGGGTGCCATCATTAAGACGTCGGGTCTCTCTGATGCATCGTCTACTGAATGATGATGCGGACACCCACCCTGTCCGCACCCAGCTTTGCTGACAGTACTACAGGACCTGTGCACTCTGCTTAAGGAATGTTCTGGAATAAATAGGTACCACCCATGGTTTTGCATCCAAGCTCTGGATTTGATTTGCCATGAAGTGGAGAAATTACACGCGACCCTTGAACAACACAGTGTTAGGGGTCCCCAGCCTCTGTGCACTCAGAAATCCACCTATAACTTTTAACTCCCCCAAAACTTAACTACAAAGAGCCTACTGTTGTCCGGAAGGAAGCCTGACCGAGAACATAGTCAATTAACATATATTTTGTCTGCTCTGTGAATTATACACTGTGTTCTTACAATAAGATAGGCTACAGAAAATAAATTGCGATTGAGTAAATCATAGGAGGCAACACATTTACAGAACCGTGGTCTATTTATTGGAAACGTCCGCAGCTCAATGGACCCACACTGTTCTCACCGTGTTGTTCAAGGGATTGTAGTGTGAGTGGTACTTTTTGTCGTCTGGATGCCGGTATCCCAGGCCTTGGGTCTAGATTCTTAGCTTGTTTATGAGAAGCTTTAAAAGCACAAACACAAACCCAGACTTAAGTCCCTCCTGGTTTCCAGCATGTGCCAGAAGGGCCAGTCAGTGAATGTGTGCGTGTGGTAAAAAGCCTGGGAGTTCTCTGGCCCCGAGATTCTTAAACAATGAAGTGCGTGCTCCTGTTCCGGAATAGAGCTCTACCAAGATTGCGTTTGGTTGCTAATTTATCATTTTTGCTTATGCCAGTTGCCTGATTTCTTCCTTTTCTTCTCTTTATAATTTATTTTTTG